GTTAGCTCTTTGTCCAAACCACAGAGGGATTCTCTAAAAGTGGCTTCCCAGAAAATGGGTGGAGAGTGTCCAACACAGATCCAGTGGACCTATTGCCTGAACGTCAAACTGAGACACTAGGTATGGGAAAGTGCTGGCATTTCTAGGACATGGGAACCAGAGGACCAACTATATGCACAGTGTGCTGACAGCTTGTGGAAGGAACCACAGTGCTACAGGGTCTCTGTATGATAATGAGAGGGGTGGGCTTGATGGCTCTGGGCTAGTGTTCTATGTCATGGACTCTCTCCCTAAATGTGGCTAAGACCATCCAATTTGGCATCCTCTTGGCCCCAATTAATGCTGCTGGCATATCCCCAATATGACACCTGGTAGCTGGGAGGGAAAGGGGGCTGTTCCTTTGACTGCTTGGCAACCCCAGGACTGGACTGTGTTTCTTCTGCTGAGTGGTAGTAAGTCATCTCCCCGCATCACCCAGTTTTCTGAGTCTCCTGCTTCCTCCCCGACTCTCACACAGGTTTCCTGCAGGTGGCATCATTCAGTCATATAGTAGGTATGCTTCATCCTAGCTCTGTACAAGGTTTTGTGCCCCTACACATCTCACCCCGCAATGAGAGGCAGATGGGAAACTTTGACAGGGAAGTGGGGCAGCCAGGAAGATTTCCTACAAGAAATATCCCCCATCCTCTTTCTCTTTCTCTTTCTCTTTCTCTTTCTCTTTCTCTTTCTCTTTCTCTTTCTCTTTCTCTTTCTGTCCTGACAGTATCACATGTAGCCCACCCAGGCTTGTCTAGAACTAAGTAGCTAAGAATGAATTCCAAATCCTCTTGCCCCCACCCTCCAAGTGCTGGTGTTACAGGTTTGTGCCACCATGCCAGGTTTTGTTAGTTTTGTTTTTGAGGTAGGTTCTCAGGTAACCCAGGATGACCTCAGACTCCTTACTTAGCTCCAGCTGGTCTTGAATTCCCAATTCTTCTGTCTTCACCTCCTACCTCCCTTCCTATAGGAACCACAATGCCTGGTTTTAATTTTTGTTTTCAAGCAAATGCTGGCACCAGGCATGGTGGTATTGTCTCTGATCCCAACTTGGGAGGTTGAGGCAGGAGGACCACAAATTCAAGGCCTTCTTGGACTACAGAAAGAGACTTGTCTCAAAAACAAAAGCAAAAAACACCAAGTCAATCAACCGACCAAGCAGTAAAATACAATAAAAATCACTAGTGGTGGTGGAAAGCTGGAGAGATGGCTCATTGGTTATGAGCACTGGCTGCTCTTCCAGAGGACACAGGTTCAGTTCCCAGAGTCTATATGGTGACTCACAACCATCTGTAATTCCAGTTCCAAGGGATCAAATGCTCTCTTCTGTGGGCACAGCACTCATAGGGTGCACAGACATACAGACAGGCAAAATACCCATACACATAAAATATAAATAAGTAAATCTTACTTACACACACACACACACACACACACACACACACACACACACAAGGATGGCATGAAGAGGGCATTCAGGAGAAAGGACAGATGCCAAATGCAAAGGAACTGGGAGACCACAGCCCTTCAGGGGCATAGGCTGGGATCTGCTGGGCTGGGCCTAGCCTGGAGGCTTCCAATGAGAAGGGGCACAGGAAGTCCAGAATTTTCATAATTTATCACCTTGTGAAAGTTCATCAAATCCCGCATCCAGTTCTAGGCTGCAGGGCTAGGGTCATTGCTCAGCCGTGGAGTACATGCTTTGTATGCACAAGACCCTGGGTTCCATCCTGAAAAAGGAATCTGGACTCCTGAGTATAGGTTTAATTTTTAATCTGAATCCCAGAATTGGAGGTGATAGGATCAGCTCAGAGCCTCGAAAGCCTACTCCCAGGGCTGGCTTGGAGGGAAGCCAAGGAGCGGATGGGGCTGGTCCAGGCTGTAGTGACAGGGCTGATCTAAGAGAATGCGCACCGGAGCGGAAGAGAAAGGACTCAGGAAGCAACCAGAGGTGAGGGCTACAGGGTGGAGGGCGGGCAGCCCCAGAGCATCTGAGGGCCCCAGAACCTTCATTCCAGGCCTGCCCCACAGCCCACTCCCTTCCTCATTCCTGTGGCTCTGACTTCCAACAGGAAGGAGAGGCCAGCTGGTCCAATGTGAAGGGGCCTGGGGAGCAGGGGAAGAGCAATACCTTGGAAGTTTCTCTGAGGCTAGGAGACCATCTGTTTCCGCCCAGGTTAGGATGAGGGAGGTGCCAGCCCCTTCAGCATCCGTCACCACCTGGCAGACCTCCTGCCACTTCCCCGCCCACTCCTACTCTTTCGTCTGCCAGCTTCCAGCTAACCGCAGACAAAGGGCTCACATCGTCCAGGACTCGGATGGGGAGGGCTAGAAAGGAGGCTTCTGCCACCTGTCCATGGTGCTTGGGGGTCAGAGGGTAACATAGAAACCACCCTGCACCCTAGGGACAAAAGGCCTAGCCTTTTTGAGCCCAGCCTCACTCTGGTCCTTTTGGCAACAGTACCAAAGCAGTAGCTGTTCCTTCCAGCCAGACTAACTACTCGCTGCCAGGGGCTTGGGAAATGTTCATGGGCTTAGGAGAGTGTTTGAAGCTTGTGGGGAAATTTGGCTTCAAAATCCAGGGAAAAACTGCAGAATCAAAATTAATAAATGTTTAATTAAATGTCTGCAAAACAGAACATGATGTCAGCTAGTCATTTGCAATTTGGCTTTTATCTGGTTATATATAATTTACATTTGATGTTTGATGCGGCTGTGTTTTAATATGCTTGATAGATGTTGAGCCGCAGAGGTCTTAAAACAACACTGTCCAGGACAATACAGCCTCATTTCCCTGGCCTCCATTTCCCCTTCTCTGAATCAGGGCTAGTGCTTGTCATCCTGCCTGCACACAGTCACCAGAATGAAAATCCCAAAGGCAAGATGGGGGTATGAGCACATAGTGGTGGTTGAGAGAAGAGGAGCATATATTGGGTGGAGGTCTCTGATTCCTTCTGGCCACCAAGCAACTGCTCTTGGACCCTCCTCTGGGAATCCCACTGCACTCTGCTGCTTTCTCTGCTTGAAAGGAAGTTGAAAGGAGCAGATGTCACCACAAATGAGACCAGTAACACCCACACAGGACACCCCATCTCAAGACAAGGAATCCAGACTTGCTTTTCTCCAAAATGCATCCAGTGCCACTCCCACCCACCTCTCCGGTCCCTGCCCCATCCATCTCTCCGGTGGGTGCCACCACCTTGCACAGGCATCTTCCACCATCTCTTGCCAGAACCACAGCAGCCTTCCCTGTGGGTCTCTGTCCAGCCACTCCGGCCCCCTACAGTCCATTCCACACATAGCAGCCAGCGGCTAATTCTTAAAGCCTGTTGAATCAGGTCACTCCCTTCCTGGAAACCTCACATAGGCCTAGCACACTTGCAACAAAACTCAAGCTTCTCCCCTCAGCTCGAAGGCTCCCAACCATCTGGCCTGCCTGTTTCTCTCACTGTATCTCAAACCACTGTCTGCTTGTTCTCCACACCCCAGCTGCATCGGAAGTTCCCTGCCAGACTTACTCCAGCCTCAGGACTTCCTTATTTGCTGTGTGCTCAGCTTGGAACACCCTTCCCCAGATCCTTCTCTGGCTGGCTCCTCACCGGTTCCCCTGACACATTCTTTGAGGAGGCCACTCATCCCGCATTGGTGCTTCTCACTTCCAAGGATCACGCTAGTCCCTCACATGCCTGCCTTACTTCTGATCCTCCAGCCTTCATCTCCTGAGTGCTGGGACTGCAGGTGTGAGACAGCACATCCTATTTATGAAGCACTGGGATCAGTCCCAGGCACGCTGTGCAAGTGCTCTGCCAACTCAGCTCCATCCTCAGCCCCTAGACATTTTCTTTCTATGTGGTCACTGGTGCTCCAGGAGGCATGCACGGGGAGCAGGCAGGGCTAAATGTTGAATGAGCTGATAAACGAGTCTTGTATGTGTCTCCTTTCTAGTCTTAGCAGGCCCTGGGCTTCTCCATCTCAGTCTGCACAACATCAGAACACTTTCCAGAACCCCACTCCCCATCCATTCTGTTGCTCCCCCTCCAGGAAGTCTTCCCTGGTGCCCCTCTAGCCGACTAGGCTACTTTCCTCTGATTCTCAGATGTCAGTGGCCTGAAGCCCAGGGTGAA